AGGAGAGAGAAAGGGAGGGAGGGAGGAAGAAAGGAAGGGAGAAGGAAGGAAGAAAGGAGGGAAAAGGGAAAAGGGGAGGAGGGAAGGAAGAAAAAGAAGAAAAGAAATAAGAAGGAAAGAGACAGAAAGAGAAAGACAGAAAAAAAGCATCATAGTATACAAAGGACAGATAACCATCACAGACTGGAAGAATGCATAAAACAAGGAACAGATGCAACTAAACTTAGAGTCTTCTAAGCCATAGTAAAATTAAGAATATGATTTCAACTTAACAAAGTTTCAAAGACAAGATGATTGGCAACCAAATTTGATTTTTTTTTTAACAACAAGGAGATTACTGAGTTCAGAAAAGAAACTGAGAACCCAAAGAACCACATGGTGGATCAAAGAAGTAAATTAGGAAGAGCAAGATGCAGAAGAGACATGCACACAAATCGAAACCAGCGCATGGAGGAAAGACTTTAGATGATCACGCTAATGCTGATCTAACATTAAGATAATTTATATGTCTTAGTAAAAAGCCTAATAAATGGAATAGAAAAATATCCACAGATGCCATATGTGAAAAATTTCCAGAAATGAAGGAAGAATCAAACCTGCTCCTCAAAAGGACAAAGTCTCTACCAGGAAAAAATGATGCAGGACAATCAATATTGAGATATATTCTAGTTGTGTTATGGCACTTCGAAAAAAATTAAAGAATTTTTTTAGGCACTTAAGCACGTGCACGTGCACGCACGCACACACACACACACAATTGATTACTTACAAGGAAACAAATCTGTTCCACTTAAATATAAAAGTAAAATGTAACACCTCCAGAATGTTTCCGCATGCATACTCTACTGAATGCAGCTATAAAATGTGGATACAGTGCATGGGGAAGCTATTTGAGGACTCTGAAAAGTAAATGAAAGGAGGCAGACTGGGGAAAGACTATAATCTGAAGCACCACTGAAACAGCAGTGAACTTGACATTTTCCCCTTTTAGTATCCTTGGGTCAATGTAGCCTGCAAGTTAGAAGCAGGGAGTGGTGTGAACAGAGAGAGCTCTGGTTCTGACCTGAGAAGAGGGAAAAGGGAATACTAACCCTCAACAATAGTTAAGGGAATCCCCAGTTTTCTTTCTTCTTTTCTTCGTATTTTCATGTTCTAGACCACAGGCAATCCTGTGACAGCAGCGGTGGTGACAGAGGCAGCGACAGTGACAGTGGCAGCTGCCAGGGCCTTCAGGTGATGAAAACTCTGAAGGAAAATAACCTTCCTCTCTGATTGTAGGAGCTGTGGTCCCAAGAGGGTGCCCATGACTTCTTTCTTCCCTCTTGGTCTTCCTGCCAAATGACGCCAGAAGAAAAGGCAAAGGCACAGGAAGTGTGTGACAGAGAAGAGTAACTAAGGCGAGAGCAACAGCATTATGGCTAGAAGGTTGAAAAGGGGAAGCTGAGGGAAGCAGAAAGTGCTGGGGAGATTGCAGGGAGGGAGGAAGTGCTTGGGAAACTAAACCCATGAAGCTGTGTCTGTACAGATGTGATCCTACACAACATACAAAGGACTTTGAGAATTGCACTAAGGGATATAGACCTCGCCAGCTCCAAGACTGCTGATCATGCTTAACAGAACCAAATGTCATTGTGAAGGCTTTGAAGATGGAACTAACATTAAGACCCCTGGTCAGAACATGTGGCCTGAGCCCAAGCGACTGGGGGAAAAACGAGCAGAGATTCAGGGATCTGTGGGAATATGACAAAAGAGCTAACCTTTGTGTCATCGTGGTGCCAGAAGGAAAGGAGAAAGGGGGTGGTACTGAAAAAGTATTCAAATAAATAATGGCTGGAAGATTACAAATATGGCAAAAGACACACACAAGGGAAGTCAAGACATTCGCAGATGAAGAAAAAGTAAGGGAGATTGTTGCCATCAGACCCTACCCTTACCTTTACCCTTCGAGAAGTTTTCTACATGAGATTCAACTAGCCATGTAAAATGCCTTGGCTGAGCATGACGTGCTCACCAATTCTCTCTAATGTGGACATTTATCATGCTGCCCAGTATTGGGAAGATATGTCTTAGAATTTCTCACTAGCTCCTAGTACAAGTCTGTTCTAGTTTCTGCCTCCAACCCCTCCACTGAAATTGCTCTTGCCAAGGCCCCCAGCAACACTTGCATTGCCTAATTCAGTGAACAGGTTTTAATGCTTATCATTCTAGAACTCAGCAAGTGTTTCTGAGTTTGTCACTTCTTGCTCAGTTCTTCTGGCTTCCTTGTGAACCTTTGCTCTCATCTCCTTCTGGCTTGATTATCTTCCAGCATGCCCTGCCCCGCACCCCAGCCGACCACCAACTTTATCTATGGAGATACTCCTTTAGTCTTCTTCCAATGATGTTCTTGTTTTGCTTGCTCCTTAAAAGACATTGTCCTTGGTCCCCTTATATATTCTATGTGCTCTCCCCAAATGGTCTCAACTACATGCATGGCTTCAAGAACTACCCTAATGACTTGCAAGTTTATATTTTCAGTATTGACTTCACTCCTTAACTCCTAAGCCAAATATCCTTCATCTCCATCTGGATATCCCACAAGTATTTCAAATTTCACATGCTCAAGGCTGAACTCATCTTCCTACCCATACGCAGACCTCCTCCTTCACCCCATTTGTCCAGGAATGACTCCAACGTTTGTAGTCACCTCACTTTACCCCTGTGGAGTCATGTTAGAGCTTTTTCACTTCCTCATCACCACTCCCCTACCCCCGCCAACCAATGCCCACTTTTCCAATTGGCTAACTTGTATTCATTCTTCAAGCTTCATATTGGACACCATTTTTCCAGGAACATTTTCCCAACTCCAAAAGTCTGTGCAAAGTACTCCTCTTATGTGTTCCTACACCACTTTCTTAGTCCATCTGTGTTGCTATAAAGGAATGCCTGAGGCTAGGTAATTTATAAAGAAAAGATGTTTATTTGGCTCATGGTTCTGCAGGCTATACAGGAAACATGGTGCTGGCATCTGCTTGGTTTCTGGTGACAGCGTTAGGCTGCTCCACTCGTGGCAGAAGGTGAAAAGGAGCCAACAAGTGCAGAGATCACATGGTGAGAGAGGAATCGAGGCGGGGGGGAAGGGGGATGCTACACTCTTTTTAACAACCAGCTCTTGTGGGAATGAATCGAGTGAGAACTCACTCATTACTGCGAGGCTGGCACCAAGCCATTCATGAAGGATCCACCCCATGACCCAAACACCTTCCATTAGACCCCGCCTCCCAACACTGGGTATCAAATTTTCACATGAGATTTGGAGGGGTCAAACAAACCAAACTATAACCAACACCTTGAACTTCCCCTCTTATAGCACTTATCACAGTATAGTGTTGTAATTGTCTGGTTCCTCGTCTGAACGTTCCACCAGACTGCATGCAGGGACCTAGTCTGTATTTCTCATCGGTGTTGTCTCAATGCTTAACACAGTATGCCTGGCACTACCCTCAATATTTTTTGAAGAATGAGCAAATGAATTATCATGTCTCCAGTTAGGTTTGCCAATATGACTAATATGTAGTGAGTGCCTGCTATATGCCATTTTACTACATAAACTTTGTATGGACTCTGTCCCCTAGTCTTATCTACCAACGCCATTGTCTTAGTTGAGATATCTGTCATTTCTTGACTGGCATAATATAGCAGCTTTCTAATTCCAATCTCAGTCCTCTCTGTTCTATTCTTCACACAGCTTCCAGAGCGATCTTTCTAGAGGCAAATCAGACCATGTCACTCCCAAGCTGAAAGACCACAGTGGGTTCAGTGTAGCCTACAGGGTATTCTAAAACTTGAGCATGGCATAACAGAACTTCCATGTCTTGGAGGTTCTTCAAGCTTGTGTTCATTCTTCAAGCTCCTGCCTACCTCTTTCCCAGCCACACCAACCACTACTAGTCCACTGGCATCTTACTCTCCAGCCTTAATGAAGTGATGGCAACTCCCCTCCTCCCACCAGTTCCTTGGTTTCTCTCATCATGCTACAGATTCTACACACATTGTCCTCCAAGAAGCTTACCAGATCCATTCCTATTCTTTCAACAAAATGTTTATTGACCATCCTTTATACACTATGATCAAATAGGATTTATCCCACAAACATAAGATTGGTTCAACATGTGAAAATCAATTTATACAATAAACCATATTAACAGAATGCATGGTGGCGGTGGTGGGGGGGAGAAACTCATGGTCATCATAATCATGTACAAAAAGGAGCACTTAACAAAACACAATACCCTTTCATGAAAATAAGTTCAACAAACCAGGAATAGAAAGAAACCTCTTCAACCTGATAAAGGGCATCCATGAAAAACCCTGAGATAATATCATATTTAATGGTGAAAGACTGGCTGATTTCCCCCTAAGATCAGGAATGAGAAAAGGATGTCTTCTCTTGCCACTTCTAATTCAACAACATACTCAAAGTTCTAGTCAGGGCAATTAGTCCAGAAAAAGAAATAAAAGGCATCTAGATTGGAAAGGGACAAGTAAAACCATCTCTATTCATAAATGCATAGATGGCATGTTCTTACATAGAGGACACTAAAGAGTCCATCAAAAGAAAAAAAAAAAAAAAAAAACTGAGATGGTTTGACTCTGTGTCCCCAGTCAAATCTCATGTCAAATTGTAATCCCTACCTATTGAAGGAGGGGCCTGGTGGGAGGTGATTGAATCATGGGGGCAGACTTCCCCCTTGCTATGCTTGTGATAGAGTTCTCACAAGATCGGATTGTTTGAAAATGTGCAGCGCTTCCCCCTTTGCATGTGCTCTCTCTCTTCCTCCTGCTCCAACATGTGAAGAAGGTGTTTGCTTCCCCTTTGCCTTCCGCCATGATTGTACATTTCCTGAGGCCTCCCCAGAGCAGAAGCCTGTACAGCCTGCAGAACCATGAGGCAATTAAACCACCTTTCTTTGTAAATTACCTAGTCTCAGGCAGTTCTTTGTAGCAGTGTGAGAATGGACTAATACACCAACCCTATCTGAGTATGCTCAGCAAGGCATATTTGGCTCAGCAAAGTTGCAGTATCAATTTGCAACAATCAGTTGTATTTCTATACCCTAGCAATGAGTAACATGAAAATAAGATTAAGGAAATGATTTATTTTACAGTAGCATTGAAACAAACTGTAAATGCTGAGGAATAAATTTAACAAAAGGTGTACAAAACATATACTCTGAAAATTACAAGACATTGCTAAAATAAATTAAACAAGACCTAAATAAACTGCAAGGTGATTTGTGTTAAGGATTGGAGCACATAATATTATTAAGATGCCCATAATCTCCAAGGCAATATACAGATTCATTGTGATGCCAGTCAGAATCCAAGTTGCCTTCTTTGTAAAAATTGGCAAGCTAATCCTAAAATTCTTACAAAAATGTAAGGGACCCAGATAGCCAGAACAATCTCGTAAAAGAAAAAAATTGAAGGACTCACACTTCCCAATTTCAAAACGTACTACAAAGCTAAACTAATCCAAAAAGGGTGGTACTGGCATCATGATAGATATATTAGGTCAATGTTACAGAACTCGGGGTCAGAAATAAATCCATATGTTTATGTATAGTTCATTTTCAACAAGAGTGCTAGCACCACTCAATGGGCGGGGGTGGGAGGTGGCAGGGAACAATAATCCCTTCAACAAACTGTGCTAGGACAACTGGATAGCCACATGCAAAAGAATGCCCTGGACCTCTACCTCACGCTGTGTAAAAAATTAACTCAAAATGGATCACAGGTCTAAATGTAAGGGCTGAAACTATAAGACTCTTAGAAGAAAACAGAGATGTAACTTTCCATGACCTTGGATTAGGCAACAGTTCCTTCAGTATGACACCAAAGGGACAGCTACAGACATTTTTTTCATTGGCAAATTGTACTACATCCAAATTAAAATCTTTTGGGCAACAAAGGGCACTATCCAGAAAGTGAATGGGAGAAACATTTGCAAATCACATATCTGATAAGAGTCTATTTTCGAGAATATATGAATAAGTTTTAGAACCCCACAGCCAAAATGCAATCAACCCAATTAAAGAGTGGGCAAAGGGCTTGAGTAGACATTCCTCCAAAGTAGAGGTACAAAGGGCAAAGAAGCACATGAAAAGATGTCTTAGTGTGTTTTCTGTTGCAATAGTTGAATACCCGACACTGAACAATTTATAAGGAAAAGAAATTTATTTCTTACCGTTCTGGGGACTGGGAAGTGCCTCGGCATCTGGTGATGGCAGGGGATATCACATGGTGAGAGGGCAAGAGCATGTATGTCGTTTCAGGCCTCTTTTCCTATTCTTATAAAGCCACCAGTCCCATTATGGGGGTCTCATCCCAATGATCTTATCTATTCCCAATTACCATCTCAAAGGCTGTGTCTCCAATCCACACGTGAATTTGGGGATTAAGTTTCCAACACACAGAATTTGGGGGACACACTCAAACCACAGCAACATCATTAGCCATGTGGGAAATGCAAATGAAAACCACCATGAGATAGCACTTCACACCCACTAGGATGGCTATTATAAATGAAACAAAATGAGGCAAACAGAAAAGAAGTTTTGATGATGTGATGAAACTGGGACTCTCATGCACTACTGTTGGGAATGTGAAAGGTTACAGCTGCTGTGGAAATCAGTTTGGTGGTTCCTCAATAAGTTAAACAGAATTACCATATGAGCCAGCAGGTTGGCTTCTAGAAGTAGACCCAAAAGAACTGAAAACAGGTATTCAAACAAAAACTTAACAGATGGTCATGGCAGTGCTATTCACAATAGCCAGAAGGGGAAATAACTTGTCTACCAACTGATTAGTGGATTAACAAAATTATTAAACACAATTACAGGCATAGCCATTTTTAGACTACATTCTAGCCCAGGCAATAAAGCAACACCCATGTTCTCTCTCCCTCTTCCTCTTCCTCTTTCTTCCTTTCCTTTATTCTTTTTCTTTTTTTTTTATTCTTTTTCTTTCTTTCTTTCTTCCTCTAAAAAAAAAAACAAAAACAAAATGTGGCCTATTTATACAACGGAATATTATTCAGTGATTCAAAGGAAGGAAGAACTGATTCACGCCTCTACATGGATGAACCCTGATGAAAACATTATGCTAAGTGAAAGCAGCCAGACACACAAGGCCTGTCATTTGGTTGTATGATTCCATCTACAGGAAATCTCCAAAACAGGCAAACCTCTATGGCCAGAAAGCAGATTGGTTAGTGGTTGCCAGGGACTATCAGGAACGTGCGTATGTGGCGGGGGTGGCGGCGGCGGCGGGGGAAGCGGTGGTAGCGGAGGTGTGGAGGAGGCGTGTGGGAAGTGACTGCTTACAGGTACAGGGGTTTCAGTTTCTTTTCCGGGTGTTGAAAATGTTTTGGAGCCAGGTGGTTGTGACGGGTGTGCAACATTGTGAAGGAGCCGTACCCAGCATCTTCCCCCCGGCCGCCCCTTTGTCTTTCTCCCATCCAGTAGAAAGGGAGAGTTCCCCCACCGGCGAAGAGAGGGTCACCAGCGGGATTCCCCCTCCCCGCCCCACTCCCATCCCCACCCCCACCCCCGCCCCACCCCCACCCCCACGGCCCCCCACAGCCGCTTCCAGGCCCAGGCCTGCTCCCTCGGGGCCAATGGGAAGGCCATGAGGTCACCTGATGGGCGTGTCCCTGGTGAGGCCATCGCCACGTGCGAGCGAGGCCGTCACCGTGTGGTGACGTGGTGGCACGAGGATGTCCGTGCCCATGGGACTGGGCTCCCCAGCCAATGAGGGGCTGGGCCCTGGTCGCTAGGATACACGGTACTGGACGCGATAACGGTCATCTTGAGAGGCATCTCGTCGTGCTAGAGCAAGCCGAGCCGAGATAGCGCACCCAACACCCAGCATGTCGGAGAGGAGCAGCCGTCGAGGGTCCTCTGGTGCTGGCGGCCCGGGGCATACCCGCTCGAGCGGAGGTTTTGTTTTCTGTGAGCGAGATGGAGCGTAGTCTACGGGAAGGCCGCTACGCCCAGCGCCCGAGCCCCCGTGCGCCAGTCGACCCCGCTGCCGTGATTGAGTACCTCACGGCCCAGATCCTGGAGCTGGCGGGCAAGGAGGCCCACAACAACGGAGAGAGGACCATCACTCCGCAGCTGCCGGACACGGCGGTTCACAACAACGCGCTGCTGAGCACCCTCTTTGACACAACCACCATGTCTCAAGTGGTTCCCGGCCGGGACTAGCTGCTGTCGACGGCCGACTTCTGGAACCTGGCAGGTCCACTCGTCCACCCACCCAGCCCCAAATCCCCCAGCCCCCAAACCACCCCCCGCTTTCCACCGGCCCCAAAGTCCGTTGGGCCTTCATTCATTAATTCTGTCACTAAAGTGTTTAATGGAACCCACCTGCCTGTTGCAGTCACTTTGCCTTCGGGGGGGAGGGGAGGGCGGTGTGGGGTGAGGGGACGTGGGATGGGCTGGGGCGTTAAGAGACCTCCCTAGCTGGAAGTGCTTGGGGCGGCGAACACGGCCCCGCCTCCGATTCCGCTCTTTGCAGACCACCAGGGCAAGGGGCGGGCTCGGGCGGGGGAGCCAGCCGGCGCGGGCACGGCGGCAGCCCGCCAAGGGGGACGCACACCGCACGTCGCGCCGCCACGCACGCCAGCGGCCGCGGCGCCGCCGCCGCGTCCGGAAGTGCTTGGGGCGGCGAACATGGCGGCGGCGGCGGCCGGCCTGGGCGGTGGCGGCGGCGGCGCCGGCCCGGGACCTGAGGCCGGGGACTTCCTGGCCCGCTACCGGCTGGTATCGAACAAGCTGAAGAAGCGGTTTCTGCGGAAGCCGAACGTGGCGGAGGCCGGCGAACAGTTCGGACAGCTGGGCCGTGAGCTGCGCGCCCAGGAGTGTCTGCCGTACGCGGCCTGGTGCCAGCTGGCGGTGGCGCGCTGCCAGCAGGCGCTCTTCCACGGGCCCGGGGAGGCGCTGGCTCTCACCGAGGCCGCCCGCCTCTTCCTGCGGCAGGAGCGCGACGCGCGCCAGCGCCTGGTCTGCCCCGCCGCCTACGGGGAGCCGCTGCAGGCCGCCGCCAGCGCCCTGGGCGCCGCGGTGCGCCTGCACCTCGAGCTGGGCCAGCCGGCCGCCGCCGCCGCCCTCTGCCTCGAGCTGGCCGCCGCCCTGCGCGACCTGGGCCAGCCGGCCGCCGCCGCCGGTCACTTCCAGCGCGCCGCCCAGCTCCAGCTGCCCCAGCTGCCCCTGGCCGCGATGCAGGCGCTCGGTGAGGCGGCCTCCTGCCAGCTGCTGGCGCGCGATTACACCGGCGCCCTGGCGCTCTTCACGCGCATGCAGCGCCTGGCGCGGGAGCACGGCAGCCACCCGGTGCAGCCGCTGCCGCCGCCCCCGCCGGCGGGGCCGCAGTCCGGGCTCGCGCCGGGGCCCGGGGCGACGCCCGCCCTACCGGCCGCGCTGCTGGCTCCAAACGCCGGCTCCGTGGCGCCCTCTCCCGCCGCCCTGGGCGCCTTCTCGGACCTGATGGTCCGCTGCGAAGTGTCCCGCGTTCTGCTGCTGCTCCTCCTGCAACCACCGCCCGCCAAGCTGCTGCCGGAGCACGCCCAGACCCTGGAGAAGTACTCCTGGGAGGCTTTTGACAGCCACGGGCAGGAGAGCAGCGGCCAGCTTCCCGAGGAGCTCTTTCTGCTGCTCCAGTCTTTGGTCATGGCTACCCACGAAAAGGACACGGAAGCCATCAAGTCGCTGCAGGTGGAGATGTGGCCACTGTTGACTGCTGAGCAGAACCACCTCCTTCACCTCGTTCTGCAAGAAACCATCTCCCCCTCAGGACAGGGCATCTGACCCATCCCATTCACCCGATGGCTGTTTGCCCGGACGGGGAGGGGATTCCCATCAATCCCGTTAACCAGTTGACTTTTTGCCTGTTTCCAAACCTCACGCATCCACGTTTGCGTCTGCGGCGACAGACAAAGACATACCGTCCCGGCCTCTGCATTTTATGGTATTCCCGTTGCCGCCGCCACAGGATTTACCTCGTTGACTGAACGTTACCGGCATCCCAAACGCCTGTTTCCGTAGCAGGGGGAGAGCAACACATTTTCATGAAACCGGAGTAGAGGACATGGCTCTCTTCCAAAAAGCCACGACACGAAAATGGCAGTCCCTTTCGTCTCCTTCCTCCGCTTCTTCCACCCAACGCAGCCTCGTGCCTCCACCTTTGTTTCATAGTGAGGCTTTCATTTTGCGGCGGCTCCCTCCCTCTAAACTTAACCGCCCTAGATGATTTCATCCTGCCCCGCATTTCTTAACGTATTTCTGTGTCTCTGTCATGGCCAAATTTTTCCTGCCACTCATCTGCACAGTACATCTTCATGGCAGTCATTTTATTCCTTCCAGCTTCCTTGTAACCACAGCCCCGGATCCATGATAAAGCCGCTCTTGTACTCCTCACGTGTGGTTTTGGTGTCCCTCGTCTGTAAAATGTGACTCCATTACCTACTTGTCAGGAGGCCAGAATTAGAACCAGATAGTCCTCTTTGGGCTCCAGCATGTATTCGTTCCTTTGAAATTTGAGCTGTGCCTCCTATGTGGGCCATGCCTCAGGGCAAGGAACCTGCAGAGGTTATCTGTGATGTGCTCCTTACTCAGATGACTGCGATGCAAATGTGTCCAGTGCAGTGGGTCCCGTGCCGATGCATCGATTTGCATTGGAATTCACGGTTCCGGTTCTATTCCGAGAGGTGTATGCAGTCTGCATCACAACTTTTATTTGTAATAGGGATTTTTTTTTTTTTTTTTTTGGTGGGGGGTGGGAGGTAATGGGGGCGGATGGAGTCTCACTCTGTGTCTAGTGCAGTAGCACGATCTTGGATCACTACAGCCTCCACCTCCTGGGTTCAAGCGATTCTCCTACCTCAGCCTCCCGAGTACCTGGGATTACAGGGGCACCCCACCACGCCGGGCTAATTTTTTAGTAGAAACGGGGTCTCACCATGCTGGTCTCTCCAACTCCTGACCTCAAATGATCCACCCGCCTCGGCCTCCCAAAGTGCTGGGATTACAGGCATGAGTCACCGCCCAGCCCGCAATGGGGATTTTGCTACAACTTGTAGTTAAATGGCGAAATCAGAGAGCATGGCTCTTTGGTGTTGTGGGGTCACTGAATGCAAGGCAGCCTCCTTATTCCCCAAAAGCAGGATGGCGTTCCATTTGAAAACAGTTACCTTTCCCAGGCTTTCTGGCTCAAACAGAGCATGCAACCCAACTAAGCTGTTTTCGTACTTTACTGCGTCATTTTTACCCTTTTGAGGGTGACACAACTCTTCAGAATATAGTCTCTTTCTCAAACTTTCAACCCTGAGGAAATGCATCCTTTCAGCCAGAGTTGCACACAATACTGATCTGCAGGGCTGAGGTGTAAGGACACAGTTTGGAGGAGATGGTTTTGTTTTAGTCTTTTTGCAGGGGAGAGGTGTGGAGGGTTGTCACTGTGAGTTAAGTGCCTCAAAACGGGTGGGACTTGTAGGGTGTTCTTTTCTGCCTCCGTTTCTATTT